GCCTTGCTGGCCGGCGTGGTGCGCGCGGCGGGGGCGCTGCGGGCGCTGGGGGTGGCGGGCTTGCTGGCGGGGGTGGCGGACTTAGTCGCGCTCGTCGTCTTAGCCGCAGAAGGTGCCTTAGCCGCAGGTGTGGGTGCCTTGGTAGTTGGCGTCCGCGCAGTAGTAGTCGCAGTGCTTGGCCTCTTTATTGGTGCAGGAGTAGTGGCTGTAGGAGTACGAGCCGGTGTGGCCGACTTGGGTGCAGCCCTGGGCGTTTTAGCTGTGGGGGTCGTGGGCGACTTCTTCGTGGCTGTAGGTTTAGCTTTGACGGCAGCGACGCCGGCGGCGGCGGCGGCGGCACCGACGGCAGCGACAGCGGCGGCTGCGACTGCTACGTCGGCGGCCGGGGATGCTGTGTCGGCCGCCATGGGCGTGTCACTGAGCGGCGCGGCGGGCTCTACGGCCGGCGTGGGCGGCGGCGTGGCGGCCGCGGGAGGTTGCACTGCTTCTTCAAGCTGAATCTCACTAGTGACAGGCACACAAATTTCTTGTGCCCTAGATTCTGGTATACCGATATCGACATCAGTAACGAGCTCGAGGCGAGAGTGTGGTGCGGGCTCTTCGGGTAGTAGGTCGGGCGCGGGCGCGGCAGACAATACAGGCGAGGCGGCGCGCTGCACTGGAGACTCTGCGCGGGGCTCGGCCGGGGCGGGCGACACTGCCACAGGCTCCGCAGGCGCGGGACACTCGGGCTCCAGAGGCGCAGGGGACTCTGCGGGCAGTGGGGACTGCGCGGGCAGCGGGGACTCCCGCGGCAGGGGCACGTCAGCCGGCAGCGGGGACGCGGCAGGAACTGGGGACGCGGCAGCAGGTACCGGGGACGCGGCAGGTACCGGGGACGCGGCAGGTACCGGAGACGCGGCGAGGGCGGCGTCGGCGATAGTTTCGATGACCTCTGTTTCAACTGGTTGAGCAGGTTCTTCTGTGACTGGAAGTTCACTGGGTATCGGTGACTCGCTCGGTAGAGGAGATTCTGCAGGCAATGGGGACTCAGCTGGCAGCAAAGACTCGCTCGGCGCTAGGGAGTCACTAAGTAACACGGGTTCACTGGGCAGTGGTGATTTACTAGGCATCGGAGATTCGCGCAATACCTCAGACTCTGTAGGTAGTGGCGAGTGTGCAGGAAGCGGAGACTCAGCGGGTTGCAAGGTATCAACTGGCATAGGAGATTCTCTAGGCGCTTCAGACTCGATTGGTAGTGGCGACTCTTTTGGTGGAATTACCTCACTTGGTAATGGAGATGGGGAATCTCCTGGCATTGGGGATTCGCTAACTTGTACAGTTTCTGCTTGCAGCAGTGTATCCTCTGGGAGGGGCGATTCCGATGGCAGGGATAACTCTGCTGGCAATGGACTATCTCGAAGTATTGTCTCTTCAACTGGTAAGTGTGACTCGTTCGGAATCGGAGACTCGCTAGGTAGAGGGGACTCCGTGGGTAATGGAGACTCACTGGGGAGAAGAGTCTCGGCTGGAAGTGGCGATTTGGATGGCAAAGGAGACTCTGCAGTAATATTATCTTCAACAGCGTGGGAAACATCCGATGTTAGGTGCTCAGTATCGAGTTTAATTTCAGGAGCTTCAAGAACAGCCTCGGTTTCACTTCTTTCAATGCCCTCATCAACATTAACATTGGCTTCTATTTCAGTGTTGACTTGTTCACTAATTGGTTCCTCGGATTTAGGTTCTTCAACATGTTCCACTGCAACAACTTCATCAATATCTGTAACTGGCACTGGTGACACTGCTTTTTCAGGTTTAGATTCCTCAATAGGTGCTGGAGATACTGGAAGCTGCTCAGTAGAAAGTGCTTCTTGAATGTCTGTAGGTACAGGAGAAGCCACTTGCTCTGTTTCAAGCAAGTGGTGAGATTCTACTTGATCATCATCCTTCATGTCATCATTGTGCAACTGTGGTTCAGTTTCTACACAAGGTGAATCTTCAAGTTTGCTTTCCATTTCAATGTCTTGTGATGTCTCATCTTGAGGTGTGAAAGGTCGGATGTCTTTCTCACTCTCTGAGGGGTCTTGTGTCTCATCATTTGTAAATCCTAATTCTGAACTCTTGCCATCAGGTATTTCAGGTATTTGTTCAAAGAGCAACTTGTGAGATTCAGGAGTGTCTGTTTGCATAACAGTTTCTTGATTGATATTACTTGATTCAAATTCAATATGTGCAAAGCTTTCAATGTTGTTAGAGCTAGTGACGTTGTAATCTGCAAAATTACTTCCTTGATCAAAGTTACCAATGTTTTGTGGAGGACCAGGTCGGTCATCAAACCTCATAATATCATTGTTTGGTTCTAGGAGGTCTCTTTCAAGTTCAGATAAGTTAGTTTCTTGGTCTGGGCTGATATTTTCTTTGTCGTTTTCATAGACACCATTTGTTTGGAAATCTTCATCATCACTGTCAGGTAAGGGCTGTACAGCATTCAGATCCACATGTGACTCCTTGGCAAGTCTCTCACAAGTGTCATCATCTTTTTCTTGGTAGAAGCTCATACTCATTGGATCCCTTTCTTTATTTTTCAACCTTTCAAATAGTTCTTCATTGCCCTCAACTTCAACAGCAAAGGGATTGGTTTCTGTGTGTGTTTGAAATACCTGGAAAAGAAACAAAAACACATTATATTAATTCTTAATGATTTTAAATACATTCATTCATTGTCCAAAGTAACAAGAAGAATAATAAATAAACATATAGTAACTCTTATTAGGTACTAACCTGAATATTACAAAAGTCAGTAGTGTCTTTTTGTATTCGCTCAAAGTCCTGTATGAGACCACTATCCTTGACTTTATCAGGTTCAATGCCAACATTGAATCCAAAGCCCAAACTGTCCATGTTACACTTTTCATTGCCATTCAAGTGTTCTTTAACGGCTTCGTCTAGTGATACATTCTGTAAAATAAGAAAATTAATTAGTATACTTATAATTTACACATGACTAATAGAAAGTACATAAACATTAGCAAAATACTTTAAAAGTTATTTGAGATAACGTAATAATGGATCATAATGCATTATTAAGCATTAATTCTAAGTCTTTATTAATTTTAAACCTACATCTTTATTTATAACGCTGAATTCAATATTACACCTAAACTAATGAGTTTGTATCATGTTTCTAATAAGTTTTTCTTCAAAACATATATAAGTATATGTATTTTCTAATCAATTAAATATACAACATTTGTACAATGAAATGGAGAAAAATTAGTTTTAAAATAATTATAATGAACAAATAACAATTATTTCCAACTTAGTACATGAGTAATAGTAATGAGCAATACTACATGTAGGTATTATGTACTTATGGGAACACTAAACTGACAATTTTAAGGAAAAACTCACATTAATACATTATTAACAACCAACTTCTTCCATACTTATATTGCTGCCATTCCCATAAAACTCATGGTTGTATTGTACTAAATGAATCTATTCAACATGCATTTTATCAGAACATTAATTGGATTCATGTAAACAGTATTTGTTTTCAGTAAAGGTTTACACACTGTTGGCTATTTCACAATCATATAGTTAGCATAGCATGATCATTATAATATGAATGACTAACATCTTTGTTTAACATTTCTTAGATAAGAAATTGTATTCCACAAAAGGTTATTACACCCCTGCCAAATAATTTATTATTAGTAACAACTCACAGTTCCACAGAAGTGTGATAATATGCAACTGATAAGCAATAGCTACATGTAATTGAACAAAAATTCTAGTCTTTCAATAAACAGGTATTTGATTGAGCAATATACATCTATTATGATTTTTGTTGTTAGAGCAATTCAATTGACATATCCACTAAACAATTAAACAATGCACTGTGCAATCTTACATTTCTCAAATTCTCATTTAATAACTGAAATAATTAGTGCATGGGATGACCTAAGCATACAAGAACAATAATCCAATTGGAAAATAAAACAATACACAATAAGGACTCACATGATGGCCATTAAGCTGATCACAGTTATCCAAGTCTAATAATTCTGCTGGCCTCACTACAGCTCCTGTGTCAAACTGTGCCTCGTCTGGTAGCTCTATGTCATCCATCGGTAATGGTTTCCGAGGTGACTCTGCAAGCAAGACGTCAGCACCAGCCACGCTCCCTGGTATGAACACAGGGGCGTCAGGATTCAATGGAGAGCTGTTCATGTCTACTGAGCTGCTTTCCCAAGCCGACTGAAATATATTAACAATATAATTAGTTGTATGCACTCCACATAACCTCCAATAAAATAGTCTACTGACTAATTTAGTCACAATTTGTAACAGATTGAATCATGTTCGTGAAGGTCAATGTGAATAATGTATCATTAGAACAAAGTAATTCATGTCTGTAGAAAGTAATTAGGACGTTTATGTACCACCTACCTACCACCTTTGGATTGCCGTAGTTTTCAGTCAATTCATCAATAATAACAATTATTGATTAGAAGTAGGTATATAACAAATGACAACTTACATTATCCTGGCAGGGTGTCTCGGAGTGTGGCACCTCGTCGGGTTCCTCGCTAGGATGTTCTTCGCGTTCACCCTCGCCTTTGAAGTAGTTCCACTCGTCTTCGGAGTCTTCGCCACTCTCAGCTACATTATCCGCTACAGACCCGTCAACGTGGCCCTCCTCCACTGTACACAACACCAAAAATACACTGAATTGATGGTATATAAACACTAATATTAGGTTTCGGTTTGAACACCTGGCTAATACCGAACACGCAACATTCACCCCTCCTCGCACGATATCAACAGGTGACACACCCTTCACAAAAAATAATCATTGGTTCGATAGGTGGAAACATCAGCTTCTAAGGTAGTTGTAATAAATCATGAACGCCGGTGTTGTTTACGAGCAGCGTGCTAGCAACGATATTTTACCGGTCGCGATTTCAAACTCGCGAGACATTCGCGGACGCCATTTCGAGAACGGCCAGCGGAGCCGGAGACACGCCCGAGTTCGAACTTGGACAGTATCAAGAACATGTGAGTGAACCTCCGGGAATCCTGCGCTCACTGACGTCTGGGGGATGCGCCTTCGGGCGAACCGATCTATTTCCAGAACACCGCTCCGCATGAATCAACACAGAAATAACCTTTCACAAACTGTTCGGTATGTGAAAATAATCAACAACATTCGCTAAAAACCACATACCGTAAACGGTAATTTCACTGCACAGATATTATCTTCACTAGCGGTGTAAAATTCGAGCCGTAAAAATATAGACAAAGGCCCGAATACAATAGCAGCGACTTTCGAGAGTAGCACAGATCCGTCGGACGTTCAATGAGCGACTGCGAGAGGGACGAGGCGAGCGAGCGGGACGACAGCGGCATGATGAGGGCGCAGGGGCTGAGGTGCGCGGGGCGCCCGCGTGCACCCGATAGGGATGCCGTGTCATTTTGTAATAATTCCCATTTATTTTATTTTAGTAAGGTATTATTATCCTTGACTAACTAGTTTACAGTATTAAAATATTTACCGATTTCATTAAATCGTAATATCTATTTGGACCTATCTAATCATCTATCACCATTATGGACGGAACGTTATGTAAAGCACAAATCCTTTCGTTAACCTTATTAGATTGTAGGTAGATCCATATCCAGATATTTTTCGTTTCTACCTACCAAACAATTTACTTCATATGAGAAAAACAACTCTTGTTGGAATAATTCTAAATAGCTTGGTTTTGATGTACCTACCCACTTATGTAAACAGTATTTAAAACAAAAAATACAAGTTAACGTGACTTACAAAAAAATGATGACATATTAATAATTACATTAATTTACATATAAGATGAAATAAAAAATATAAATTATCACATTTTCTTAAAATATTTTCCAAAATTAGGTTATGATAAGCAAGTACCTAGTTAAGGTACTTACTTAGATGCTTTAAGTTTAGAACCCCTTTTCAGAGTGATTATAGGTACTTCTAAGTGTGTAGGTATATAAATATATTGTACTAGTTTATAATAAATGCCTATTTTACTAATGACATCATCTATTAAATCAGTCTAGGCATTCCTTAAATACCTCAATGTTAAATACGACGTTATAGGTATGTATTAATATAACTAATATTTTATGGGCTAAATGTCCCCCTGGTGGGCAAACAAAATATACCTAAATAAATTCATAACCCTACGATCTGTGAAAGCGTTGACATTGTCATCCCATACGATTATACGATCTTGCGTAGTATGAGTCAGTCGAGTCATGCATGAGGAAGTTGGTTATTTTATGAACGTAGACCCGGGTACCTGCCTCGAGTACCTATACAGTAACAAGACATGATCCCTAACCCGACACGTCGCATGACTTAGAATAATGATCGAAATAATGTCACAATTTCAACAAGGAAAAAATTTGGGGAAACGTCAGAAGGTACCCAATGGGTGACGCTGACGTTCGCGTTAGAAGGAAGGTCGACATCCCGCCCGTGACCGATCTGAAATTAGGTCAAATGTAACCGGGGACGAGGTTATTCCAGAAAGATTCGGTGTTTACATAGGGCTTATTCAGGACGAGAATTTCACCCAAAACGGATCAATTGCAGTTCAAATTTATTTGGCGTGCTGTAGAAGATACCTAATAACTATCAACCAGGTATGAACTGATGCTTGTTACCGCCCTCGAGATATCTAATTGAAGAAAATGCAAATAGTAGCTGATTTTGCATTTCTAAGTTTTATGGAGCAGATTTTATATTACTTATGTAACGTCTTGCACACCTTTTATTCATGGGGTTATTATTTGCAATAGCGTCTTACCGGCGTGTGCAGGCGGAGTGGGCGCTTGTGGTTCCTGATTCCTTGCATCTGCGTCTACGTCATCTGCGTCAATGTCCACAGCAGTCTCGGGACCGAGGTCCTCGCTGTCACTGTCGGAGTTGTCCACTCCGTTGTCTCCGGCTATAGCCTCAGCTTCGGCCTCCGCGCACTCCTCGGCCTCGGCTGCTGCGGCGGCCGCGGCAGCGTCTACTTGACGCCGGCACGCCTCTGTCTCGATGGTGAACGGCGGAGCGTTCATCATCGCGTTGTCCAGCCTATAGATGTTTTATTAAGTTTAGTGAGACTGAGATTCTTCTTAGATAAACATTTAGGTACATAAAAGGTAAACAAATGGGTAGATAGATAATCAATCATATTAGATTGGTTTTTATTTAAATGACTAATTACAATTCACGAAATATTTAATATTCAATAATACTTTTTACTTGGAATAAGTACTGCAATCTAAGAGCTGATTAGGTATCAAACCTGTTCTTGTTAAGATTACAAAAAATATATTTAGGTAGTGTACATTACGTAATACTTAGTTTATTGTTAATCAACAGCAATAAATTGGATTACCCGAAGAAAGTGACATGTCTATTATGTAATATTATACTTTCATTTTCAAGGCTTGTGTTAGAAGATAAGCTAGCAAGTCCCAAGGTCGTCTGGTTCAAGATAATGTCATTCGTACGTCTACATTTTTATACGAGCTCCATATGTATGAATTACCAGTAACCGGTTAACGGTTGGGTATAAAATTTTGTTAGAATAAAGCCAGAAAAGGCATTGTGGACGTTATTTTGCTAATTTGTTTACTTATTCAACGTCTGCGCCCATCATAATGACATCATATGCAGATAGCGTGTTCTAAAAATAGGGATTATTAATATCCACCCATGACATATGGGAATGCTATTAGTTGTATGACAGTACGGTACCAAAGTTCGATAAACATCAAACAGGTATGTATGTTCATTTAACTAAGGACTCCAATCAGCTGACAGTTCGCGTTTACTTAATTAAAATATTCAGGATTTGCATACACGCAGAATTTCTGAGTGAATACTTTCGGCGGTTTGACGTTCTATTATTACAGCAAAACATGACCCTGACGGAATTCCTTCAGAGTCATTGCTAGCAAAATTCCTACGGCGGCGCTCATATAAAAAGAAATGTAAATTAAAATTATTGTAGCATGTTTCATCGTTCCATTCTGAAAACTAACTATGAAAGTTCAGACGAGTTGTGGATAAGTACGTATAAATGGTTACTTATGCACTTGCGAGAATTACTTTATACACATAGTAATTATGCAGGTTAGAAGAATATGCTTCATGACGTTTTATTATTTTATCAAAAAGTGACTTACCCAAGATCCATGGGCGGGCGGTTGTCTGCGGCTATGTCACGCGGGTCCTTCAAGAACACCACGATGATGGAGATATTGTCGGCGGAGCCCTGCCGCTTGGCCTGCACGATCAGACGCTTCGTCACCGCCTTCAAGTCATCTGCACAAAACAAAACATATCGTAAGAATAAGAAAAGTACGACGAACAATTAAAATCTTATTAGGCATAGTTTCCACCGCAAAGAACGCATTAACAACCGACAGAATTTCTTAATGGTGTTATTATCCTTAAAATATCTATGTGTCATCTAGCACAAACTTAAAGTGTTGCGAAGTCTATTATGTCTGCAATTTGTTGCGGCACAATGGTGAATAGACCGACGGATATGGAGTAACCATGTTTATGTTTCGATTTGCCACAGCGCTGGCTGTATGTGAGGATGTCCTTGTTCTGTCTCAAGTCTGCTGGCGTGAGTCACTGGCCAGTGCACCGCTATTGTGCCCCATAGTATCACTACGTGAGAGGCCTTCGTTGATATGAAAGCAGCCGAACCATTCCTTTTATTTTGCATTGAGACTTATCAGCTCTAGAATAATTAGGTTGACCTTGTTTTGTACTGGGTGGAACGTTACGTGAAACTTAATTCGTTTCATGAATATTACAAATTAATGATAGTTAAAATCCCCAGAGATCACTGTCATCGTACTTAATATTTAAATTGTTTTGGACAATAACAAATTGTAAGTAAGTTTCGGACATGCGCTACAAATGCGAATATTATTACGAACCTCACCTATATTGAACATTTAGGTAGCGGTTATTGAAGCGTCGTCGGTTGTCATGATAGACACACATAATTTAATTAGTTTACACGGGTTGTCTTTTTTTCTGTGAACGGTAACTCGACCAGCAGGCGCGCCCTTTCACAGGGAGTGTCTAACTGGAATTTAAAAGTATGTACGGGTATTTCGTGTAATGATGTGCTTCAACCGCCCGTTAGTTCGTCGTCTAAGCGCACGCCTTGACTTTGCTCGCTATTTCGGGGCGCGGTCGTCGCCGCCGCCCTTGCTTTTTACCCTGTTTGGCCTGGCTCGAAGCCAACCGCGCCCCGTCTGCTCTTATTTCGATAAAGTCCATAGAAAGTAGTTAATTTAATTTATATATCACACTTCACCAAAAGGAAGTATTTGAGCCTTAACCTGAAATTTAGTTTTGTAACACGGGCAGCACATTAAACAGAGTCCTTGGTTGTAAAACAAAGTTATTAGTCAGTGTATAGTTTGATTGAGGAATGAGTTTCTGTAGGTATGCGTGGAAGCGGTAAATGTTTATTAGTTAGGTGTATCATGTCGATCGTGGCGCAAGTAGCTCGCAGCGGTCGAGGTGATCATTGCGGCGATTACTGCCGCCGGTTAACGGTGGTGTGGATGGAATGCACGTCGTCGGCCATTGTTCCCTACACTATAACTCGAAGCAAAAACCGATCACGGCCCATCGGCGCATACTAAGCCCGCGACCGCCAGCCACCTGCCGGCTGACGTTATCGAGAAATTCCTATAATTATTGTAGCTACTATCGATAATGCCCAACTAAGGCTGATAGATCATATACAAGAAGCCTGGGTAATATCCGAATGATTGTCGAACACTGGCGTTTTGTGTGAGAATCTAAGTAGAACAGTTGATCTCGATGGACGGAACGCGCCCTGAGACTGTGTAGTAGTGTCCTAACAACTCCTTATAATAAAAATAGTTACAAAGTGATATTAGATCTAATTTATTACGAAACGTAAAGCTGGTGGAGTACTGTTACCCAACAAGTGTTCTCAGACCTTCGGGAAGCGTAAAAGTGACTATAAATACTATAATAATAAAGTAAAAAAGTGCCGTATCATAGTGCCGGTTCTCCTGAGTGCACGGAATCATCACGGTTGTGCAAACTGCATAACGGCGAAAGTCCTGCGAGTGCGCAATCATCACGGTTACCAACATTACAACGCTAAAGCGTTCCAGCTCCGAACGCAGTGTGTTTACGTCGCATTACAATCAAGGGTGACTAGTGGCGCCACCCCAAAGGTATTTATAGTGCTGTAACTTGACATTGTAAGTAATAAACAAACACTATGCCGAGGATCCAACGCTCGCCGCCTGCTACTCCTTCTCAAGAAACGGATAATAATCCACCTATTTTCTCAACCCCAGACTTTATCAGCAATCCGAATGAAACGGAAACCACAAATGTTACCTCGCGGTCTAAGCGACAACGACCAGACTTTTCCCCGGAATGTGAAGAAAAAACTTTTGAAGATAAAATAATGAAGTTATTTACAACTTGGAAAACTGACCAAGAGTCCATACTTAAAAAATTAACATCGGAGTTGACAGAAATTAAACTTCAAAATGTTGAGATACAAAAAACAAATGCTGAAACCTTGAAAACTATAGAATTTCTAAGTCAGGACTATGATTGTATTAAAAAATCCCTGCAGAAATTAGAAGTAGAAAAGAATGAACAGCGCAATTATATTTTAAAACTGGAAAATGAAATAGAGGATTTAAGGTCGAGTTCACGATCTTCTTGTATCGAGATAAGAAATGTACCGGTGGCTGAGAGGGAAACAGCTGGTGAACTAAATTCGATTGTACTAAAGACCTTTGAGACCATACAACCCTCGGAAAACCCACCTCAACTACGTGACGTCTACCGTCTGCCAGGAAAAAAAGGCTCGAGCAGACCGATAGTTGCAGAGTTCCTGACTGTCCCCTCGAAGATACAAGTACTGGAAGCCTGTCGTGCGTTCAACAAGGGTCTGCCATTAGCAGAGAAACTAAACACGAGTCACATTGGTGTTCCCGGTCAAGTCAAACCAGTTTATATTGCCGACCATTTGCCTCGCTCCCAGCGGCAACTATTCTTCGAGGCGCGATCTTTTGCAAAAACATATATGTAACTATAAATTTTGTTGGTCCCAGAACGGAAAAATTTTTCTTCGTAAATCTGAAGGACTGGACTCTGTTATTATTAGATCGACTTCTTGCCTTAAGAAATTACTTACCCCTGAATAATTGCAAAACGTCTCATTTTTGTTATTTTAGCATGCCTTTAGATTATATTAGAATCTTACCTTTCTATTTACATAAAACTCAAGTACTACTACCCTTTCATAATTCATTTGTTTTGTTTGCTTTTATTACTTTTATGCTTAAATCAAAACTTTGTCAAGTAGCCTCATTTATATGTAAGCCTCTAGATAACACACCTTATCCACGACAAAAACACTATATGAAAATCTCTTACTGCGTACACCAACACACTAACACCTTACATAACACATTTGCTTGTTATGAAAACTCGCACATCCTACACATTCTACATAAAACAAATAATTCAATAATGTCGATACATACCAACTTAAAACACCTCCGCAATAAATACATAAATATTCTCTTTTCCTTTGTCTGTATATGTTCCAACTATGACGCTCCTAAATTCTATAAATGTTGGATATTAATATTCTAAATGATCTTGACTCGTTTGGTGCAAACGAGTCATTTGTTTGCGAACCTGAAGCCTGCAGTAGTTTTATTAATAAAAATATTAGTTCACTAAATATAATGCACCTCAATATACGCAGTGTAAACCGCAACTTCGACAGCTTTCGAATGTTACTTGTTAAAATGAAATGTTCATGTGATGTCTTAATTTTATCAGAGTGCTGGTTAAGCTTATCAGCAGTACCACCCTTGGAGGGATATAATCAATATACTACTAGTAAAATAAAGAACCAAAATGACGGTATTATAATCTATGTTAGATCACAACTACCGCATGTTATTATGGAACCTCATATGACCGATGCAAGCTGTTTGACCTGTTCTATAACCTCCCATGATATCTTTATCATAGCATTCTATCGCTCACCATCAATACGTAATACTGAAAATTTTAATTTACAGTTAGATAAATTTCTTACACAGTCATCAATTCATAAAAACATAGTGGTTATGGGGGATATGAATATCGATATAAGGCCAGATGCTCTTACCACCCAAGCAAATCAGTATCTCGATTTAATTGCCTCACATGGCTTAATGCCCACACACCTGTTTCCTACACGCGCAAATACCTGCATTGACCACATAATGATAAAATCGACCAAAAAAACTACAACTCTGGTTATTGACACATACATAACGGATCACAAGCCTACCTTTCTTACTATTCAATATAAAAATTCGATCAACACACCTAAATCTAACCGTGTTGTTATTGACTACGCAGCTGTTATAGATGACATATTATCAATGGATTTTACCACAGTTATGAATATACAAGACGCCAATATTGCCGCGGAAACCCTGGTGTCCATGATCAGATCAGTTATAACTAGGCATTCCAAATTAGTTCACATGTCCTCAAAATGCAGAATTTTAAAACCTTGGATTACAAAGGGGCTACTCCGATGCATTAGAAACAGAGACAATATGGCGCGTAAACTAAACAATGACCCAGATAATTATATTCTTAAAATTACATACAAACGGTATCGTAATTTTTGTAATAAACTTCTTAAGAACCTTAAAATTAACTATGAAAGAGAGGAATTCCAAAAGGCGAAAAGTAATGCTAAAGCTACATGGAAGGTCATCAAGAATGTTACTGGAACTAATCACATGCCTACTGCTAGCAATGACCTATTAAGGATATCTTGTGATGAAAAGTCTTCGGTAAATGTAGTTAACGATTTTTTTGCCAATGTCGGCAAAAATTTGGCTGAAAAAATACCATTCAGCTCTTCCACTCAGGAATTCTCTATGAAATCGGTACCCTCAAATTCACTGGTATTGTTACCTACAGATGTGGAAGAGGTTTCTCAACTTATTATGAGATTAAGAACAGATGCTGCTGCAGGTTGGGACAGCATATCATCAGGACTCTTGAAAGCTTGCCTACCTGTGCTAGTACCAGTTATTACGCATATATGTAATCGCTCTATATCAACGGGGTGCTTTCCTAAGGTTTTCAAAAAAGCTATTGTAATTCCAATATTTAAGGGTGGAAACGGACACAGTGTCAATAACTATAGACCTATTTCAATACTGCCTGCCATTTCTAAGATATTAGAAAAGATCCTAAATACTCGCCTAGTAAGATATCTT